GCCGCCAGCGGGCTCTCCCCGAGCGGGGCGCCCACGGCCTCGAGCCCAGCGCGGTCCTCCTGCCCCTCCTGCTCCTCCTCCTCTCCATCCTCCTTCTCCTCCTCCTCCTCCTCCTTCTCCTCCTCCTCCTCCTCGTCCTCCTCCTCCTCCTCCTCCTCCTCCTCCTCCTCCTCCTCCTCCTCCTCCTCCTCCTCCTCCTCCTCCTCCTCCTCCCCCTCCCCCTCCCCCTCCTCCTCCCCCTGCCTGCAGATCGAGGCACCTGGTCCTCTCTCTGCAGTCGGGCTCGCCTGGAGAGGGCAGGCGAGGGGGCGCGAGCCCCCTCCGACGGCCACGCTGCTGCAGGAGTGCGCAGTCAACCCCGTACGATGCGGACGCAGGGTGAGGATGCAAGGGCCTTGGAGGGCCATGTCGACACTCTGCGGGCGGGGCGCGGCCAGCGAAGGCGGCCAAGGGTGGGCCGAAGGTGACGGACGCAAGGGTAATCTTGAAAAGTCGCTCATCCTTACTATGCGGATTGATAGTATCCTAAATTGGACCCTCGGGGGGGGGCACCCGAAAGCCTCCGAAAATACCACCAATGGCAGCCGAACGCTGACGAAAACATGTGAACGGCTCTTCCTCCTCACAGGGCATCCGACGACTCGATGCGTTCGGTGCTCCAATTGCCGGCCCCTGGGACTGCCTCTCCAATGTCCAGGGTCCCGAAAACGGCTTCCGGAACCCGACCAAGCTTAAAACACTCACAATCCATATTTCGAGCCTGTGGAGGTCGGCAAACCTTTTCCTCCTCCTCCTCCTCCTCCTCCTCCTCCTCCTCCTCGCCCCCCCCCAATCGAAAAACATAGTCCGAAAGAGACAGTGAGTGCAACACGGAAACCAGGGGCTGTCGGCCATCCACCTCAGCTCACAGGTCCCGACAAGTCCTATACTGGGCCAATGATAGGTGCGTGCTCCCTCCTGGCTTGGCAAGGGCGGCACGTGCACCGATCCCCTGGGCCCAGGGTGGACCAGGCCTGGATCGGTCCGTGCGCCGCAAAAAGCTGTCCTCCTCATCGAGGATCGCAGACGCTGCCAGGAGCGCAATTTGAGCGGGAGGCGACCGCAAGGGCAGCCATGTTCGCGAATCACTCTGCGTTCCCGCGCCGCCCACCAGAGGAGACATGGAGCATGAGAAGGTAAGCGTCTTCTTATTCGGCGTCTCCACATGGGGCGGAAGTGGGGAGGAGGGGAGGGCGGTCTGGCTCCGGATCTCTGCTTGATGCGTCTGCTTGCAGCAGCGCATCCTCTGGGGGAGACCCCACCTGCTCGAAACAGGCGAGGAAAACAGCCAAGATCCACTCCATGGGCTGGGGGGGCGGGGTGGTCTCGAGGGCCCGCGCCGATCGGCAAAACCATGAATAAGAAAACGACGGCCACCGCGCCCCCATTTGGTTTCCCCCTCTTTTGCCTTCCGCCCGAAGATCGGCTACACGCACGAGAGACTCACCCTGTGTGTGCGTGGCCTTTGGTGCGCCGCATCGCCCGCCGATGCGTCGGCGCTGCATCGGCGACGTCGGCGTGGAGAAAATCCGGATCCACATCGTTGTGCATCGCCGATGCGTGGGCGATGCGGCGCGATCCTCCGGCACCATTCACTATGGCCCCGCTTGGGAGGCCTAGAACACCCTAGGCCGCTCTGGCGAAGCGTCACCCTTACAGGAGGGCCCTTACAGGAGGACAAGCCGGGACGGCGATCGACATTTAATCGGATCGGCGGAAATCGGCAGCCCAGTCGGGAGAGGTCGAATCGACCGAAATGGGCAGGCTGGTGAGGCCTCCACCGAGACACCGAGATCCGCATCGAGATCCGACGCCCAATCGCTTCGGAATCAGAACCGATCGACCTCGAACCGAATCGGGCTGGAGCCATCGCACTGAGCCCTTCTCTGGCGTGCAGCCGAAGTATATGGGACGCACAGAGACATACTAATACGATATGTCCTCCTTGGAGGCGCGCGTCCGACCCGCACATACAGTATACCCACCTTCTAGTACATCGTTTCTCGAGCGGTGTGGCCAGAAAGCGCCCGCCACGACGCATATACTATAAGATTTCTCGGTGGGCGCGTCGCCCCTGGGGGGGGCGACGCAAATAGAGTAGAAGTATGCTGGGGTGACGCCGAGTATATGTTGCCTCCTCGGGGGACCTCGTCTCTCCCGTCGCGCCCCTGTCCGCGTCGAACCCGTATCGAACCCATGTCGGGCTCGCCGAGTCCGTGGCGAGCCCAGACCCCCGACGTCGCGATTTGTTACCCAGACCCCCGACGTCGTGATTGGTGGCATCCCCTTCAATAGTCTGGACTTCGGTCAGGCCTGTGCCCGTACAGGGGGACTTTGGGCGAACAAAAATGCTCAACACATTATCCCAGTGCGACCCTACCTAGGAGTTGGAACCCATAGGACAGCAGCATTAGTAGTAACAGTAACGCTAAGCTAAAGCTAAGCTAAAGCTAAGCTAAAGCTAAGCTAAAGCTAAGCCACAGCTAAGCTAAAGCTAAGTTAAAGCTAAGCTAAAGCTAAGCTAAAACTAAGCTAAAGCTAAGCTAAAGCTAAGCTAAAGCTAAGCTAAAGCTACGCTACAGCTAAGCTAAAGCTGAGCAACAGCTAAGCTAAAGCTAAGCTACAGATAAAGCTAAGCTAAAGCTGAGCTAAAGCTAAGCTAAAGCTAAGCTAAAGCTAAGCTAAAGCAAAGCTAAACGCTAATATAAAGCTAAAACAATACTAAGCTACAGCTAAGCTCAAGCTAAGCTAAAGCTAAGCTAAAGCTAAGCTAAACGCTAAGCGAAAAGCTAAGCGAAACGCTAAGCTAAAGCTAAGCTACAGCTAAGCTAAAGCTAAGCTAAAGCTACGCTACAGCTAAGCTAAAGCTGAGCAACAGCTAAGCTAAAGCTAAGATACAGATAAAGCTAAGCTAAAGCTGAGCTAAAGCTAAGCTAAAGCTAAGCTAAAGCTAAGCTAAAGCAAAGCTAAACGCTAAGATAAAGCTAAAACAATACTAAGCTACAGCTAAGCTCAAGCTAAGCTAAAGCTAAGCTAAACGCTAAGCGAAAAGCTAAGCGAAACGCTAAGCTAAAGCTAAGCTACAGCTAAGCTAAAGCTAAGCTAAAGCTAAGCTAAAGCTAAAGCTAAAGCTAAAGCTAAAGCTAAAGCTAAAGCTCCCAGGGGACTGGGGGGAACCGCTCCCAGGGGACTGGGGGAACCGCCCGGGGCGCTTTCCACTGCCATGCCCCTTTAAGCTAGAGAGTAAGAACCCTTCTAGGCAGAGCCTAGGTAGGGAAAAAACACTTTAAAACATAGCATCAAAAAATGCACCAACATCGTCCCCAGAGTATGGTTTGACTACTTTTGAATATTCCTCGTGTAGAGGCACGAGCCCGGCTAGAGTCTGGACCCCTTCCCAGGCACCGGTTTTTCATCCTGAGTCGTTTTGTGAGGGTCCCAAGGCCGGGGAAAGGCCCCGGGAGGCCGAGAATGGCGACAAACCTCCCGTCGCGATGTGTTTCACAGCGCGAGGGGGTCTGGGAATCCGTGTCAAAGTCGGGCCAAATCCGTCTCTCAAATCCACGCTGAGTCCGCAGGAAGCCCGCGTCATGCAAAAGAGAAGACACCCATCTCTTGGGGCCGGCGGCGCTCGAGCTGCGCTGGGCGGCCGCGGAAGACCGTCGTCGCCGTTACCGTCGTCGCCGTCATGGTCGTCGCCGTCGCTGGCGTCGTCGCCGTGGTCGTCGTCGCCGTCGTCGTCGTCGTCGTCGCCGTCATGGTCGTCGCCGTCGCCGGCGTCGTCGCCGGCGTCGTCGCCGTCGTCGTCGTCGTCGTCGCCGTCGTCGTCGTCGCGGTCATCGTCGTCGTCGTCGATGCAACGTGAGCCGAGGAGTGCTGGCTGGCGAGGCGCCTCCTCCGCCTCCTCCGCCTCCATCTCCTCCTCCTCCTCCTCCTCCTCCTCCTCCTCCTCCTCCTCCTTTTCATCATCATCATCAGCAGCAGCAGCATCCTCCTCCTCCTCATCATCATCATCATCATCATAATCATCATCATCAGCATCATCGATATCATCATCATCAGCAGCATCATCACCATCATCATGAACATGATCATGATGATCATCATCAGAACAATAAACAACATCATAATAATAATACTAATAAGCATCATCAGCATCATCATCATCATCCTCTCATCCTTCCTCCCCCTCCTCCTCCTCCACATCCTTCTCCTCCTCCTACTCTTCCTCGTCCTCCTCCTCCTCCTCTTCATCATTATCCTCATCATAATCATCATAATCATCATCCTCATCATAATCATCATCGTGATCACCAGAACCAGCATCATCAGAATCATTACCAGCATCGTCATCAGCATAATCATCATCAGCATAATCAGCATCATTCTTATCATCATCATCATGATCGGCATCATCATCATCATCCTCAGCATCATCATCAGCATCATCATATCCACCATCATCATCAGCAGCATCAGCATCATCGTCATCATCATGCTCATCATCATCATCATCATCATCATCATCATCATCATCATCATCATCATCATTACCATCATCAGCATCATCATCAGCATCATCATCATCAGCATCATCATCTTCATCTTCATCATCAGCAGCATCGTCATATGTATGATCATCATCATCACCAACATCAACATCACCATCATCCTCCTCATCATCAGCATCAACCTCTCATCATCATCATCATCATCATCATCATCATCATCATCATCATCATCAGCAGCAGCAGCAGCAGCAGCAGCAACAGCAGCAACATCCGCATCAGCATCATCATCCTCTCATCGTGCCTTCTCCTCCTCCTCCACCTCCTCCTCCTCCCCCTCCTCCTCCTCCTCCTCGTCGTCCGCCTCCTCCTCCTCCTCGTCGTCCGCCTCCTCCTCTTCCTCCTCGTCGTCCGCCTCCTCCTCTCAGGAGGGGAGCAACGCAGGTCGCCGGCCTGTCCAGCGGGCAAGCGGCCCGCGCCCGCAGCCTGCGCCGGGGAGAGGGCGCGGCAGGGCGGAGAGCGGGGGGGGCCTCCGAGCAGGGAGCGCGGGCGTCGCTTCCTGGGGGGGGGGGGGGGGGCGCGGGGGGGCGAGGGGAGGAGGAGGAGGAGGAGGAGGAGGAGGAGGAGGAGGAGGAGGAGGAGGAGGGAGGACGACGAGGAGGGGGAGGAGGAGGAGGAGGAGGAGGAGGAGAAGGAGGAGGAGGAGGAGGAGGAGTAGGAGAAGGAGGAGGCAACCCGCCCCCATGGGGCCCTTGTGGGACGCTCTTGGGGCGCTCGTCGAAGCCGTCTAGAGGCCGTCTTGGTTGGGGCCCTCTTGGGATGACTGGAAAGGGTTCCAGGGGCACACGAAGAGATAGACACGGATTCCAGCAGTCCCCCAATTAGTTGCCCACTCTTTCAGGGTCCTCGACTTCTTGCCCCCCCCCCCCTTCTCCCATCGTTCCCCAATCTTTTTGTCCGGGGGATCGGCGATTATTCATCGTGTCTCTGTGTTTTGTTTTCCCCTCCTGAAGCTGGGGGGGCGGAGACAGGTGCGCTTCTCGGTCTCTATAAAGGCCCCCTCGGCGGGCCCTCAAGGAGGGCTCCTGTTCTGCAGCCCTCGCTCCCTAACAAGCGAAGCCGTTTAGTAAAGGCGCCCAGGGAAGGAATCGAACAGGTCGGGGGCGCGCAAACATGGATTATCGATCCATGGATTTGGCGCGCGGACGCCAAATCCACGGATCGGGGGAGATGCCCTTCCCAAAGACTTTGGGGAGATACCCTCCCCAAAGACCGGCCGCACTTTGAAAGTGCGGCCGGGGCCGCCTCGTTCGGCGGCAGAAATCCGCGATTTCCGATGGAAACGGGAACCGTCGCCAATCCACGCCCCTTTCATCCATGTTTGCGATCGCCTGAACAAGGCAGGGCTGTTTAGTAAACGCCCGGGGCCGTTCAATAAACGTCACTCCGGGTCCGGGTGGTTCCTCCTCCCTTGCATCCCTTCATGCATCTTCCCCCCGTTACGCGTCCTCCGAGAGTGTGCCGAGAGGGAGCCACCGAGGGGAACGGCCATGGCACTGCCCCAGAAGGAACGCTGAATCAGGAACGAGGGAGCGCTCCTGGCCCCAGCGAACCTCGTCAAACCATGAGTTCTCCGACCTGGACCCGAAAAAGGGTCCAAACACCCGAGCCCCTACTCCTCCTCCTCCTCCTCCTCCTCCTCCTCCTCCTCCTTCTCATCCCCCTCCTCCTCCCCCTCCTCCTCCCCCTCCTCTTTCTCCTCCTCTTCTTTTCCTCCTCCCCTTCCTCCTCCTCCTCTTTCCTCCTCCTCCTCCTCCTCGTCCACCTACTCGTCCTCCTCCTGCTCCTCTCCTCCTCCTCCTCCGCCTCCTCCTCCTCCTCCTCCTCCTCCCCTCCTCCTCCTCCTCCTCCTCCTCCTCCTCCTCCTCCTCCTCCTCCTCCTCCTCCTCCTCCTCCTCCTCCTCCTCCTCCTCCTCCTCTTTCTCCTCCTCCTCCTCCTCCTTCTCCTCCTCTTCCTCATCCTCTTCCGCCTCCTCCTCCTCCTCCTCATCATCCTCCGCCTCCTCCTCCTCCTCCTCCTCATCCTCATCGACCTCCTCCTCTGCCTCCGCCTCCGCCTCAGCCGCCTCATCCTCCTCCTCCGCCTCCTCCTCTGCCTCCGCCTCCGCCTCCGCCGCCTCCTCCTCCTGAGCCCAAGGTGGCCCTTCTGTCGGCGCCTTGGCTGTATCTCACGGGCCCGCTCGCGCTCCGACTGTGTGGGGGGGGGGGGGCGTCTCGCGCGAGGCGCTCGCCTCACCTGGTGGACGAGGCTCTCTTCTCTGCAGAGCCCCATGGGCTCGAGGATGTCGCAGACACAGCACTTGGGCGTGAGCCGCCGGGGGGTAGCTCATGGGCCCCTTCGCGCTCAGAGCGTGGGGGGTGTCTCGAGCGAGGCGCTCGCTGCGAGCGTGCTCTTGTTCGGCGTTTCGACGTGGGGCGGAACGGGGGGAGGAGGGGGGGTCTGGTTCCAGGCCTCTGCTGAATGCGACTGTTTGCAGCAGTGCGTCCGATGGAGGAGACTCCACCTGCCTGACACAAGCGCCACAAACAGCTCAGATCCACTCCGTGGGGTGCCCGCGCCGATCGGCACAACGAGGAATAAGAGAACGACCAAGACGAGTCTCCTTCCAGAACCCCATGGCCTCCGCGATGCAGGAGGCACAATGGCACTCGGCACCGCCCCACAGAAAGGGGGAGCCTTGGGTCGGACATATCCCCCATACAGGCGGATGTTGGACGAATACTTTAAAAACAAGACAAACATCCGAAATTGCCAAAAATAGTACAGAAACATAACCCCTGACTATTTTCTTGACTGTTGTAGAATTTTGTCCTCCCGTAGAGGGACAGGCCCGACCTAAGGGGAGCCGCCCGAAGGCATCTCACGGGCCCGCTCGCGCTCGGGCCGCGGTGGTGTCCCGAGCCCCTCGCCCACCTGCGCCGACGCGACGCCCGGGTGCCCCGCCCCCCCCCCGCCGCAGACGGAGGGCCCCCCCCCCCCCTGACCGGGCGCTCCGTGCAGGGACGGCTGGCTCGCGCCTCGCTGTCGCGGGCGCTGGCCCCTAACGCCGCGGTCATCGTGGCATCCTGAACGATCGCGGCTCCCCGCTGGCGTTAGGTCGGGCCTGTCCCCCCTACAGGGGGATTTTGGACGAAAAATAAGAAATAAACTAAACATATATTCCAAACATGCGGAACAATAATCAAGACATGGCCCCCTATGACTATGCTTTCCTAGTTTTGACGATTCCCCCTGTAGAGGGACAGGCCCGACTCAACGCTGGCGCAGCTCGCTCGACGACGGCCGATTCTGGGCCACCGGCCGCGCCGAACCTCGAACGCCCACGCTGGGCGCGCCGCCGCAGCGATCGCGGCGCAGGCCCGCCGTGGGCAGAAGGGGCGGCCTCGAGGGCAAGGCTTCGGTCGGGCGCGCCCTCCTGCAGGCGGCTTCTGGGAAGAGGAGGCACGCGAGTCCAAAAGATACTCAGACGAGGCCAAACCTGCTCCGCACATCGCTCCCACACTATTCTGGGATTCGTGCTGCAGCTTCCTCCCGCAGGGGGGCACGCCCGACTCGACCGCCCAGGCGCGCGAGAGGCGCCCCGCTCCCCCCGGAAGAGAGGCCTCGGCCCACCCTCGCGGCCGCCCGGCGGGGTGGCGGAGGGAGGGGGGTGCTGGGAGGAGCAACAGGGCCGCACAGCAGGGAGGGGAGGGGGGCAGGAGGAGGCAGGAGCAACAGCGAGGGAGGAGCAGCAGCAGCAGAAGGCAGGAGGCAGGAGGCAGGAGCCGCAGGAGGAGGAGGAGGAGGCAAGAGGAGACAGGAGGAGGAGGAGGAGGCGGCAGGAGGAGGGAGGAGGAGGCAGGAGGAGGCAGCAGGAGAGAGCAGCAGCAGCAGCAGCAGCAGCAGAAGCATGAGGCAAGAGCAGCACCGAAGGCGGGAGGCAGTGCTCGAGGAGGGAGTGCAGCTGGAGGGCACGGCTGCGACCCACGGCGGTGCACCCTCACAGAAGGAGCGGCTCACGATCAGCCCCTCAATCCGCCGACCCCGTCGGCGTGTGTGTGTGTGTGTGTTTGTGTGTTTGTGTGTTTGTGTGTTTGTGTGTTTGTGTGTTTGTGTGTTTGTGTTTTTGTGTGTTTGTGTGTTTGTGTGTTTGTGTGTTTGTGTGTTTGTGTGTTTGTGTGTTTGTGTTTTTGTGTGTTTGTGTGTTTGTGTGTTTGTGTGTTTGTGTGTTTGTGTGTTTGTGTGTTTGTGTGTGTGTTTGTGTGTTTGTGTGTTTGTGTGTTTGTGTGTTTGTGTGTTTGTGTTTGTGTTTTTGTGTGTTTGTGTGTTTGTGTGTTTGTGTGTTTGTGTGTGTGTGTGTGCGAAATGCTGCTTCGTTTGTCTAATCGTCGTCCTCGCCGTCGCCGCTCCTCTCTTTTCCCTGGGCCCTCCTTAAGCGCGCCAGCCCAAGCGAAATAGCCGAAGATAAATTGAGCAACGTTGTAGCTGAGTCTAAGAGAAGCCCCTTCCCTTTGATCCCTGCCCCGCCGGGGGGGGGTCCTGGGGAGGTAAGGGCGGGGGGGGCCGGGGCGGGGTTCCCGGTCAGGACATCATCCCACGCGGGGGGTCACGGGGCCCAAGAGGCTCCCCAACGGCCTCCACGAGGCCCCAAGGCACCCCCGAGGAACCGCCAGGAAGCCCCCGAGGTTCCCAAAAAGGCTCCCCTGACAACCCCAAAACTTTGGGGATTGTTGGGCACCTCTTGGGGGCATCGAGTAGCCTCTTGGGCACTCTTGGGAGCGTCTGATCCCGATCTTCCCGAATGCCACTTCCATCTTGGGGGTCGTCGTCCACGGTGGGCGGCACCGGCCGTAAGGCCGTCGCAACATAAATGTATGATGTGTCGCTTGATATTCGATGCGACAACGATGGGTATTTGTGTTGCAGCGGCCCAGCTTGGGGAGCCGCACGAAAACGAGAAAAAAGATGGACCGCGACGAAGACGAACACGTCAAGCAATAAGAGGCGCGCCCCTGGCGGAACTCTCCAGGCCTTCCTCCGCGTAGGCGATTGGTTGTTCGCTATCCTCTCGACCCTCGCCAACCAGAATGACCGGGGCATAATTTCGCCATCTTCACCCCTCTAGCGCACGCGAGAGAGCAGGCACAATTTGCAACATCAGCGCGGCCAGGGCATGATGCAGGTGCTGTGGAAGAGGTGCTCGCATGGAAGACGGCGGACCAGCTGACCGGCGAGCATATCCTCGGAGGAGGCTTCAGACGCGTGCGCGTTTGGAGACGCATCTTCGTCCACGCTCTGCATCCTCCATGCATCATGCAGAGTGCGAAGCAACGCGTACCCGCACAATGTGCGCTATGCTTTGAAGGCTGCGCGCTGCAGTCTCATTGGTACACTGCTACACACCGCGACTGCGCAACGCATTACTGCCCGCAACCCACGTCACAAACATTACTTCATGAATGTACACCGTGTGTCACCGTGCGCTGTGGGTGTTCTCACTACCACGCCTTGGTATGGACTGGGCAGTGCACCAAAGCCAAACATACACAGTACACTGTGGATGGTGGGCTGCGCCACCGTACAATGCATAGTGCTGCAGTGGGCTGAGCATTGAGCGCTGCGCTATGCATTGTGCTCTGTGCCTTCACCGTGTTCCTACACTATCCAACTTCACACAACGTCTTCCTCCTTCCCTAGGGGAACGAGGAATGACGTAAACACACAAACCCGGAGACCCTCATCGCTGGCACGCGGAGCGCGCCAGGGGCGGAGCCGAAGGCCCCGTCAGGGCGGTCCAGCGCAAAGCCGAGAAATTCGCGCGGACCTCAACATTTTTATGTTTATGTCATTATTCCCCTATTCTGAAGTCGGGCGTGTCCCCCTACAGGGGGATTTTCGGCGAAACATTAACAATGCCCAACAAATATTCCCAAATGGTCGGAACAAATATTCAAAAAGCACTCCAAGATGGTCAAACAAACTCCAAAAATAATCCCACGGACTATTGTTTGACTATGTTTGGCTATTCCTCCTGCAAGAGGACAGGCCCGACGTAACCCTATTCCCACGAGTCGTCCCGCTCCCCCCTTCCCACACTGCTCCGGAGATGCGAGTCTCCCAGGGCCGTGGCACGGGACGGGGACCAACTTTGGTGGGCATGAGCGGGGCGCGCCAACGCGCGGGCGGTGTGCGGCTCCCCACGGACGCCCGCGAGTTCGGCACACAGATAAGAAGGGGCCCAAGGACACACAAATAAATACACACTAATAAACATATCCCCCTATTTTCCATATTTTGTGGGTTCTTGTCTCCCCCACCCACTTCCCATATTTTCCCATATTTTGTCGGAAATGGACGATTAATTGTGTCTGTGTGTTTCTTGCCCTCCTGAAGATATCAGAACATGATTTGTCCGACTAACGTGGCCCAGGGACACGCAAGTAAGGACACGCAAATCCCAGGACGCCTCCTATCTGCAGTGCATTGCTGGGTCTTCGTCTTTCCCCTCACTTCCCACATGTTCCAATATGAGCGCGTTTCTTTATGTTCGGCGATGACGGGCGTCAGGGGGGGGGGGGAGGGCGGGGGGGGGTATGACGTGACGCCCCCCCCCGCCGTGTGGCTCCGGCACCACAGCCGCGCCCGCGCGCACGACGCGACGAGCGACGAACGACGAGCGACGACGACGACGCGAGCAGCATGTAAGTGGCGATCTGCCCATGGCGCCAGTGTACACCAGAACGCTCGCGTGCACCACGCCGCGCGTGTGCACCACAGCGCCTACGCACACCGCAAACAGCAGTGTGCAACGCACCACCCGTGTATACCACAATACTTGGGAGCACTACAGCGCTGGTGTACGTACACCGCAGCAGCCATGTGCAACACAACGCCTGTGTACACCACTGTGCTTGCGTGCGCCACAGCGCCTGTGCACGCCACAGCGCCTGTCTACACCACAGCATCCGCGTGCAACGCAGCGCTGTACACCACAGCGCCTGTGTGCATAGGACAGGTAGAAGGAGCATGTACGTCAGGATCTGCTGCGGACAACTAAACGCCACGCCAGGAAAGTTCTGAGAATCGAATGCGACGTTTTTCCCCCCTCCTCACTCCTTCCTCCTCCTCCTCCTCCTCCTCCTCCTCCTCCTCTCCTCCTCCTCCTCCTCCTCTTCCTCCTCCTCCTCCTCCTCCTCCTCCTCCTCCTTTGTCCTCTTCTCCTCCTCTCTTACCCCCCTGTCGTGCGGTTTGGCGTTGCAACGCACGTGCGCATCTCAGCGTGCACCGCAGAATGGTCGATTGAATCGGTCCACTTGGTTCTCGGACGGCCAGTTTAGCTGGAGCCTCCTCGACGCAAATGGGAGTTTGGGTGATGCGGGCGGACTCGGGGGGACTCGTAGATTCCAGCGGCGCTCCTTCGTCCATGAGGATTTGTTTTTCATTGTTTTCTCTGGAATCCACACGCGCTCCATGTTGTCACAAGGATCCCTTCTGAAATTCTATACACAACAATGGTGCTGTGTTGCACACGGCTGATGTGGTGCACACAGGCGCCGTGGCGTACACAGGCACTGCAATGCACGCAGGCATTGTGGTGTACACTGGTGCTGTGTTGCGCACGGCTGATGTGGTGTACGGAGGCGCTGTGGTGTACACAGGAGCTGCTGTGCCCGCAGGCACGGTGGCACAAACTGACGCTGTGTTGCACGCGGCTGCTGTGGTGTACATCGGCGGTGTGGTGTACACAGGCGCTGTGGTGCACGCGGGCACTGTGATGTACACAGGCGTTGTGGTGCAGATCGCCACCTACATGTTCGTGCTACCCGTCCTCCGTCATTCCTAAGCATTCCCAGACGCCGCCGGCGCGAAACGTGACGTCATCGACCCCCTCCCCCCCAGATGATTGCCGTCATCGGCCCGGACTTAAAAACAGGCTCCAGCAGCGTCCGCGCGCACGACGACGATGAGCGACGAGCGACGAACCACGAGCGACGACGACGGACGACGACGACGACGACGACGACGACGACGACGACGACGACGACGACGCCTGCGGACCAGACACCTATGCGGATTCCTACGCGGACACCTACGCGGACCCCAATGCGCACGGCGGCAGTGTCCGGAGCGCACTGGGGGGGGGGAGCGGGGGCCATGACGCCCGTCATGCCCCAAGCAATAAAGAAATGGGCTCTATTTTCCTGGGAGTCGCCGATTGATTGTGTCTGTGTGTTTTTGTCCACTCCTGACCCACCCCAGACGGCACCCATAATTAGGTTGATGTTCGAAACGGTAGGGGGGTCGCTTCCCTCTACAACCCCTCGCCTTTCGGCCAACAAGAGCGGAAGACAGCACGGCAAACCAACAAAGAAAAAAACACGGTAATACAAAAAGGAACACAACCAAAAACGGCGCGAACAGGAGTGCCCAAACTAAAGCACGACTGATCCAGAAACACAGAAGTCGATCTGGAAAACTAGAAAACGTGTTCAACGCCATCTAAGAGCACGGCGACGGGAGATGCGAGAGGCCACCAGATAGCTGATTTCCCCCTCTGCTCGGCAACGGGGATCCTGTTAACGCCATACCCCTGATAATGAGCCCCTGGGAGTAATAACGTTCTTTTCTCGGCGGAGGATGATGGTGATGAAGATGGTGATGATGTGAATGTGGATGATGATGATGATGATCATGATGATGATGATGATGATGCTGATGATGCTGATGCTGATGATGATGATGATGGTGATGATGATGGTGGTGATGATGATGATGCTGATGATGATCCTGGGCGCTCGTGTAACTAGATCCTGGCACAGACTGCCCCTGGTGTCTTCGAGTCTCGCATCTCAAGGTGGCCTGCGGAAGAGAGGTCCTTGGCGCTCCTGGCCAAGAGACCTCCGTTGCCATGCCCAGCGTGTTTGATGGGCTGCTGGTCAACATGAGGAGATAGCAATTTCGATTCGCAACTTCCCCCCGCGACAGTCGAGCTCGGCCCCAGAGAGCGACTTGCTGGCTGACACAAGCACTGTGCGGCCGCCAAGTCCGCTCCCCCCTCTCCCCGACTGCGGCGACCGTCCACCCCGACCACGCCGCATCGACCCCCACACTCCGCCCGCCCCATGTGATGGGCCTGTCTTCCACCACCACCACCACCATAAGTTGGAGGGGGGGAAAGGAGGAGGAGGAGGAGGATGAGGAGGAGGAGGACAAAGAGGACAAAGAGGAGGAGGAAGAGGAGGAGGAGGAGGAGGAGGAGGAGGAGGAGGAGGACGAAGAGGAGGAGGAGGAGGAGGAGGAGGAGGAGGCGGAGAAAGAGGACCCCCTCTCTCTCCAACTTCTGGCGGCGGTGGTGGAAAATCGGCCCATCATCGGCACCCCAAAACTCCGCCCGCCCCATGGGCCCGACGGACAACCCGTGACCCAGAGCGTCCCCGCGCCCTCTAAGTCGAGCCGTGCAAGCCCGGCCGCCGAGGGCCCCAGGCCGCCCAGTGGCGATGGGTCCCTGTTTTCACTACCACCGCCAAGAGGTAGGGAAGGGAGGAGGAGGATGAGGAGGAGGAAAAGGAAAGGAGGAGGAAGAGGAGGAGGAGGAGGAGGAGGAGGAGGAGGAGGAGGAAGGAGGAGGAGGAGGAGGAGGAGAGGGAGGAGGAGGATGGGCCCACTTTCAACCACCACCACCAGAGGTAGGAGAGGGAGGTGGAGGAGGAGGAGGAGGAGGAGGAGGAGGAGGAGGAGGAGGAGGACGGAGAGGAGGAGGCGGAGGAGGAGGAGGAGGAAGAGGAGGAGGAGGAGGCGGGAAGGGAGGAGGAGGAGGAGGACGCAGGAGAAGGAGGAGGAGGAGGAGGAGGAGGAGGATCTCATCCTCCCTTCTCCCCCGTCCTACACATGGTAGTGGTGGCGGAAACTTGCCAATCACATGGACCCCATGGATATGCAGTACACGTCGGTCGGAAGAAGTAGATGCAAAAACCTGAAACAGGAAGGCGGATACAGTAGATGGGGTGCAGGCCCTCCCAGGGAATAACAAAACACAGCAAAAGCATATCGTGTCTTGAGGTGGAAGGCGCTGGTAATAGACTGGGATGTGGGAATCCAGAAATACCTAATTTCAACGACCGGCGTGTACCACAGCCGGAAATAACAGTCCAAGGCGGAAGGCCCCTCACACGAAGAACAGGAGGGCTGTCCTACAAGGAGAAACACGGCAGAAACAGGCACATAAACACGCACGCACGCACGCACGCACGCACACACGCACACACACACACACGCACACGCACACACACACACACACACGCACACACACACACACACACACGCACAAGCACAAGCACAACCATGAACACTTACACTTATACTTACACTTACACTTACACGCACGCACACTGTCGAAGGTCCGTGCGGATCTCCGAAATCGAGCCTGGAGCCCCTGCCTGGCGCGCCCAGCGCGACAGGCATATCGCGGGCGGCGCCGCCAGGGGGGGCCCAGCGCCAGATTGTAAAGAAATCCGCGCGGACCTCTGGATGGTGATGTCTATGCAGTCTTCTTTTCTTCGAAGAACAGAAGGGCTGCCCTCCAAGGTCCGATCGGGCAGTGCTCAGTGGTGAGGGCAACAAGCGAGGGGGGGGGGAAGGTGCGTCGTTCGTGCGCATTTGGGGCCCCTTGCCGGCTCCTTCAAAACCCCTCGAATACCCACCCCGCCTGATCGCCCTCCATGACGAAACGCCCGAGATATGATCTCAACCCTCGTAGAGTCGGCAAAGGGAAGCCAAATCCGCTCAAAATCGGTCCCCGAAACCCTCCTGAGGTCCCTCTGGTGCAGCTGTTCACCCCGGAACCATTTTTGACGGTCGCAGGGCCCGAAAACTGTCCCCAGAGCTAACAAAAAAGCGAACAAAAACCATGGTCGAACCTGGGGAAACCAGAAAGCATCGACACCGCTACTCTCCAGACCTCTCCTGGACGCGTTCCGACCAGACTTTCGACGCGAATCCAGCGGTGGCGACGAGGGCCTCCCAAGAGGCTCAACCAAGGGAGACCGAGGGCTGGGTAGAACCCGTCCCCCCACAGGGGGATCTAGGGCGAAAAGTTCAAAAGTGCAAGGAAATACTCCCCAAATCATTAAAGATGGTCAAAGAATCATCCACAGACTATTGTTTGATTGTTTTTGCATAAACCTCCTGTAGAGGGACAGGCCCGATTTGAGGGTAGACATGGTATGGGCGCCTTTTTCCTCCTCTGGCAGGATCCAGCGCCTCGAGCAGTCGCCCCCCGTCCTGCTGGCGAGAACCAGTCCTGCAGACCCCTGGCCGCCTCCAAGCTTACTACCAGCTTGCAACACATCCCTATCCCTATGCTGGGCACCGCCTCATCACGATGGCGATCTTAGGGGTTCCCTCAGCTTTTGAGGGCGCATCCCTAAGATTGCCGTCGCCTTTCGGCGTGCCAATCTTAGGGATAGGGATAAGTTCGAGGCTGGTGAGCTGAGGTCGGGCATGTATTCCTACAGGCGGATGTTGAAAGGAAAGCGACCAACAGTCTGCCAACATTCCTACATAGTCCAAACATGGTCGGAACATCGGCCCCGGACGACTTTCTTACTGTTCCCGATTGCTCCTGATGTAGAGGGGCAGGCTCGCTTCAAGGCTACCACTGCACCCCAGACCTCTCCTTTGGACGCCCGAAATGGGTACGGAAAGAATGGGCATTATGCCCAACAACAAGTGTTGTCCCAAGCCAACAGCGGCCGCTGTTTGGCAGGCGGCCTTCTGTCTCGAATGGACACAGGCCGCGGCGGCGTGGACAGCGAGTCCTGCTCAAAATGAACAGGAATTGTTGTTGGGCATTGTACCCATTCTTTCAGTACCCATTTCGGGCGTCCAGATCTCCTGGGGCGCGCTCCGGACAGAATTTCCGCGAGAGCCCAGCCGCAGCGACGAGGGCACTCCAAAACGAGCAGCGTGTACCGGTACCCACCCCGCCTCCGACCCCGAGGCCCGGCGGGGGCCGGGCGATGGGATGGTACTCCAGATTTCGTAATAAAAGGGAGGGGGTCTCATTTCGGGGGGGGTCTCTTCCAGGCTATCTTGGAGGGCCTGGGGGGGTCTGGGGACGACGTTTTGGAGGGTTCTCCCACGGGGGGGGGTCTGAAATGGCTTGTCTTGGAGGGTCCAGACCCCCTCCCTTCTATTACGAGATCTGGAGCATTCCGACTCCTACTTCATCTGTGAAGGCTGAAGTTCTGGCGTTCGAAGAGTGCACGCTATTTCTATCAGGGCTGTGCGCCTCATTCGCCCCTGTCAGACGGTAGGCGTGCGAGTCTCACTCTTGCATCTGTGTCAGATCTGGTCGGCCGACACTGTGCTTGTCTCAGGCTTGGGGAAGAGCTGACCCCAGAGCAGAGACAAATTGAAAAACATGTTCGAAACCAGCACCTTAGCGCCGAAGGCGGTTGGTTTTCAAAATGTGGCTCTCGGCTTAGCGCCGCGCACATTCGATTTAACAACTTGCATCCTTTTCAAAATGCGGCTCTCGCATTTGCGCGGCGCAAATTCGTTTTTTTCTTATTTGTATATACAAAGCAAGAGTTTCACGGGTTCCCATCATCAGCGTACCAGGAATGGTGCTTTGGCAGGATTCAAGATTATGCGGGCGCAACAATACGTTGATTCGCTGAGTTAAAGTCCTAGGGGTGGCGATCTGGCACGATTCAGGATCGTCAAGACAGTCAGGTTGATCCGTGGCGCTGGAATTCCGAAAAAATGTTTTGGCATGCTTCAGGGTCTTCAAACGGGTGTCTTCCAACGAGGCAGGTCCATCAATGGAAATGAACCGTTGTAGGGGCCTGTCAAGAGGGAGCTTGGAGGGAGGGTGTGCCCCAACATCGTTGATGGCTCTTGGGTTTACACT